TCTTTCTTTTTTTTAAATTTATTTTTGAGACACAGAGAGACAGAGCATGAGCAGGGGAGGGGCAGAGAGAGAGGGAGACGCAGAATCTGAAACAGGCTCCAGGCTCTGAGCTGTCAGCACAGAGCCCGATGCAGGGCTCCAACTCACGGACTGTGAGATCATGATCTGAGCTGAAGTCAGACGCTTAACCGAGTCACCCAGGTGTCCCTCAACATTCCCTTTCTTAATGAAATTTAAAATAGACCCCTCTCCTGAATTGGATTTGAATAACAATATAATGTATACAATATATAAAGCATGACTTAAATGAAAGAGTTATCATAGCTAAAACTGGTAAAATACTAAAAAACAAGTGCAAATATGTTTTAAAGCTACAACCCTTTGAACAAGAATTTTATTTTTTAATTTTTTAATGTTTACTTTTTTATTTTTGAGAGAGAGAGAGTGACAAAATGTGAGCAGGGGAGAGACAGAGAGAGAGGGAGATGCAGCATTTGAAGCAGGCTCCAGGCTCTGAATGTCAGCACAGAGCCATTTCCAGGGACAAACCCACGAACCATGAGATCATGACCTGAGCCAAAGTTGGTGGCTTAACCAACTGAGCCACACAAGAGGCCCTGAGAAAGAATTTTAAACATCAGGAGGGAAAGCAATATATGAACTTGTGGTTTACTACCAAAATAGTGAAGTTAGATTGTATAATTAATGTGTCTATTCATAGGCAATATAGTACAGTTGTTCTGTGCATATGTTGATCATTCAACACAGATAAATGATAAATTTGTTTTTCCTCTACTTAAAAAGCCTTGATGAGCAACATTTATTGTAAGTACTAGTACTAAATTACATGTTCCTAAGGAACAAATCAAAATATACCATACAAGAGTTTTTAATCAAGTGGAATAAGCTTCAAGTATTTACAACATAAAAAGCTCATTAGGTTCCCATTGTATATCGATCGTACCATAGTTTTGTAACTAAAATAAAACAGAAAGCAAAATAAATGGTAGTAGGGTTCTAGGTAGATTCAAATAATCCACCATAACAACCAGCATAAGGGTTTTTGTATATTTCCATTGCATCAAGTTCTCCAGTGCAAGCCAGGCTACATTACTGTCAGAATGTAAGGAATAATGAACAGATCGCTGAACACACTCAGCCAATTAATTTGTAATTCATTTAGAGGACACCTGAAGCTGATTCATCCCTTAAATTGAACTAAATAAAACCTGACTTGATTTGTTAGAAATGTGCTGGGGTCCCAACATTAGCAATGTTGAAGGCAAGCTATTATGATAATGCCTATTAAGCAGAAACTTATGGGGGAAGAACAGTTAAAGTTCTTAAAAGCATCTTATCCAAGAAAATAATAAGGTTATAAAAATAATTTATCATTAAAACTGTAAATATTGATTTAGAGAAGAATAAAAAGGTGGACACAAAGGATAACGTACATTCTGCCCTCAAGTTAAAATCAGTTTTGCTTTTTGATGGGGATCTAAGCCACTTTCACTTTAGAAAGAAACCTACAGCCAAAACCACTGGCTCAAGTGAGAGAGACATATTAATTCTCTTGTTGATTTTGTGAAAAGAATAACATTCCAGTAACCCTGAAACTAGGGTGAAAGCTGAGGTTTGGCCCAAGTGACCAGGTAATTGTATTGATTTTACATGGATTATATTGCAACACAATATTCAGAAACCTTCTGGTCTCTTCACAAACTTCATAACATTTGTAGGAATTTAGTTCTTTGCTTTTCTTTTAAAAATAAAATTAGATGGCAAAACTCTGATGTTGGGGAGTACAGTGTCCTGTTTTAAGTATGGATCTTACTTAAATGTAGAAGTAAACTATTTATATTCAGAGGAAGCCCCTTTAAAATGAGAACTATTAAAAATTTTTAATACAATTAACACTCCTTCAGCTTACTGCTTCAGTGTTCCATATGCTGTGCACCATTCTGCCCTATTTTAATCATCAGTCCAGACGCTAGCCTGTAGTGTTGAGACTTCAAACTTGTTTTGTGAAATTCTATTCATCTTTCTACTTGAAAATCAGCTCATTAGTAGCAGAGATCATACTTTTTTAGTTTTATTTTCATTGTAAAAATGAATAATACACTTGATAAGAAAAATAGCCAAACTATCAGAAAGGTATAAAATAAGCTATAGTCTCTTTCCCTTCCTTATTTACAAATTCCTAATCTAAACACCAAGGCAACTTCTGTCAGTAGTTTCCAGAAACTTTCCAAAACGAAAATGCATATACACTTACAAAAAAAGTGATGATACTATAAACTTAAATTCTATTACTTACGTATATCTTGGAGCTATTTCTATACCATCACATTCAGATACACTACCTCAATCTTTTTTTTTTCAATATATAAAATTTATTGTCAAATTGGTTTCCATACAACACCCAGTGCTCATCCCAAAAGGTGCCCTCCTCAATACCCCTCACCCACCCTCCCTTCCCTCCCACTCCCCATCAACCCTCAGTTTGTTCTCAGTTTTTAAGAGTCTCTTATGCTTTGGCTCTCTTCCACTCTAACCTCCTTTTTTTTTCTTCCCCTCCCCATGGGTTTCTGCTAAGTTTCTCAGGATCCACATAAGAGTGAAACATATGGTATCTGTCTTTCTCTGTATGGCTTATTTCACTTAGCATCACACTCTCCAGTTCCATCCACGTTGCTACAAAGGGCCATATTTCA